CTACCAGCTACAGAATGATGGCAGTGGTCACCAAGATCAACTGTAATCTCCATCTCCCTCCTGCCATGCCCTATGGGGCAGTACCCCCTCCCCAGCAAATCTGAAGTGTTCAGTCTCCTCCTTTCTGCTTGCCTCAGCTTCATAGCCAACTGCCAAGAGGCAGGGATCCCCACTGCCTTCTGGGCCCTGGCTCTCCTTTAGTTCACACTAGCCCTTGCCTGTGACCGTGGGTCACAATCGGTTCCTGCATCTTTCCACACTATAAACACAGGTGCCTTTAAGGAAAACAAAACCAACAAAAAGAACAAAAACAAAGATCCTTCTGTGGGAGGAAAAACATGCTATAACAAAAACATCACCAGAGAACACAACTTCCCTGTTAAAAAAAAAAAAAACAAAAACTACTTCCTCCTTTATCTCACCCTAAGGTAGTGTCTGGATCCTCAGCTGCTGAAGCATTGTAACTCCCTGACAGGTCCAAAGGAACTCCAATCCCCCCAAACCCCAAAAGGCAGTCCAAGATTCCACAAATGGGCTCAACCTGGCAGTTAGATGGAAGCAGCATCCCTCAGGAACTTGTGAAACTGGTTCCCATCTACCAAAAGGAGTCATTTCCCTTATCATTGGCAGAAGGGACAAATGGCTGTCTGTGGTGCCTATTACCAGGTATCCTCAATATCTCAAGTACCTGTTATATACTTCAGAGTCATTCCTAGCCCTTCTCACCTCCTCCCCTAAACTTCCCCCAGCCCTTAGGCCCTCCCCCAGTTCTCCTTATAACCCTGCTATTCTCAATGATCTCTCTCTCTCTCTCTCTCTCTCTCTCTCTCTCTCTCTCTCTCTGCTTCTCATACTGTCTTCTCTCTCCTCTACTCCCTGCTGTTCTCTCCTCTTCCAAAGATAGCCCTGGCCATGTTCAGTCTGCTGGCCATGTCCAGTCTACTCCTTTCTTACTTTGCTCTGGATTCTTCCAGATGCCCCGGGCTGTTCTCTCTCTCACCTGCAACAAAAACCTTCCCCTTAACCATGCCATGGAGCAATCATGTCGTCAGTTTATACACTCTCTCCTTTGCTGATGTCTCCTCCACCTGTGAGTATTGTTATTTCTCCAGGGCCCGACCAGAACCAAGCTGTTTTGCCCCGGTCCCCAAGTATGAGGATGGGCGGTTTGTCTGTCCCCCAACAGGGGAGGTCAATGGCCCTCTGGACTGCTGCCGACTCAGTAAGGCACACTGAAATGACTGTTTGGGGAAGACACTCTATAGGGATGGGCAGGGTGATTTAGGAGAGCCCTGAAAACTCTGAAATTGTGAGGTAGACACCCCATCTTCCCACCTCCTCATCTCTTCCACCCAAGAAACCAAAAGGACTTTGTTATTGAGGGCAGACATGGAGGCACACACTTTCAGTCACTCAGGAAGCAGAGGCAGGTGGATCTTTGGGAGTCCAAGGCCAGTCAGACAGTGTGACCTGTCTTTAGAAAGGGGGAGGGGCTGGAGCAACGGCTCAGCAGTTCAAGCACTGACTGCTCTTCCAGAGGACATGGGTTCAATTCCCAGTTCACAATGAGCTGTAACTCCAGCTCTAGGGGGTCTGGCATCTCCTGTACTGCAGCATGTGGTGCACAGATAAAAGCAAAACATCCACAAACCAAAACAAACAAACAAAGCACCTTGTTTTGTTTTGTTTTGTTTTGTTTTGCTTTGCTTTAAGTCAGGGTTTCTCTGTATAGCTAGCTCCCTGGCTGTTCTGGAATTCATTCTGTAGACCAGACTGACCTGGAACTCTGAGATCTGCCTGCCTCAGCCTCCTGAGTGCTGTGATTAAAGGCAGGTGCCACCACACCTGGCTAATATTGTTTAATAAAATAGAAATGTTCCTCCACCAGGAAGTTTCAGAGTATGGACCAGGAGTCTCCAGGGGTACTCTAAGCTTCTCAGGGGATCTATTAAATATTTTCCCATTTCCTCGGGGATGTACCCACAATGAGTATTTGCAACAGAGTGGATGCAGAGACTGGTCATAAGTCAATGGGCTGTGCTGAGATCAACAAAGCAAAGCAGCTGGCCACTAGCTCTTACCGCTAGCTCAGGCTGAAAGGGCTGATCCACAAGCTCTCATCAATGAGACTGGAGAGAATCCAGACTATCGCAGAAATGCAGTCTGAGATACTGAGCTCCCATCTTTTATATACCTCTCTAGGGCTGGGATTAGAGGCATTGATCCCAGGTGCTGAGGTCATCTTTGTGTGAGCTGTTTTTCTTTAGAACTGAATCAATTTCAAGTAGCTCAGTGTGGCCTTAAACTCAGAGATCTGTCTTCCTCTACCTCCCAAGTGGTAAAATTAAAGGTGTGTACCTCCACCACCTGATCTCTATAGCTTGTGGCTGACTTTGCGTTCTGAATCCTCAGGCAAGCTTTAATAAATCATAAATAATGTATCACCACAACCAGGTTCAGTGATAAATGTCTTTATCACTATGCCATCTCTCCAGGCTTCTTGATATACATACATACATACATACATACATACATACATACATTTGAGATGGGGTTTCTCTGTATAGCTCTGGCTGTCCTGGAACTCACTCTGTAAACCAGACTGGCCTCGAACTCAGAGATCCCCCTGCCTCTGCCTCCTGAGTTCTGGGACTAAAGGTGTGCACCACCACCCAACTCTCCATCCCCTCTTGTGGTGCTCACCAGAGTTTTGCTTATAATCCTCAGTTGCTGTCTGCTTCTGTCTCCTTGCAGGCCCCAGACTTCCTGAGATGCCTACCCGCCCCCTGACTCCAGGGCCCTCCCCTGTGCCTCCTACAATGTTCCATTCCTGAGCCTCCTCACAGTGAGGCCCCTGAGACCCCTCAGTGCAGTGGGAGAGTTTGAGAGAGGAAATGGAGTCTGCATTTAATCTGCTTTCTCCTTGTCTTCAGTCCTTTTCTCTGCTTCCTCCAACTTAGCACCAAACCTTCTTAGTCTCGCCCCTAAATTGCTCTCAGACCCACTTTTGTCCATGTGGCAACCTTGGCTCATGCCACCTTTGCCTCCAGGCAGCGGCTCTCCCTGCAATCTAACCAGCCAGTTAGTGTTTCTTCCGTGCACATCCCTTTCCTGCTCACAATCTGCCAGGGCCCTCTGCTGACTCAGGAGGAATGCGCAGCCACAGCCTGGCACAATTCACCTCCATGGGCAGCCTCTGGGCTGCCACCTGTCTGGCCCCATGTTCCCGCTGTACTAGCCCATCTGCCCTGTCTCTGCCTCAGGCACACAGTGTTCCCTGAATCACTATCCCTTTTGGAGCTCCTTCACCCAGTCAGGCTTCCCTACTTGAGTGTCTACTCACTTGAGTCAGAGGACCTGTTCAGGTGGTCACATTGCATGCAGAATTGTCCCCACCAGTTCTAGACTCCATATTCCTTGAGGGGAATTCCTTCGTGCTGCATTCCCTAACATGTCTAGAGCTGTGCATGACACGTGGCTTGAAGAACGGTAGCTTAAGCGTAAGTAGTAAGGGGTAGGCTGCAATCCCCATTACTCTGGAGTCTGAGGCAGGGGTTTTGCAAGCTCAAGGCCTGCCTGAGCTACAGGTGAGTTCAAGACCAGCTTGGACAGCTTACTAAGATCCTGTTTCAAAGCAAAAGATAAATGGGCCTGAGAATGTGGTTCAGCAGCAGAGCACTTGTCTAGTACGTATAAGGGCGTGGGTTCACTCTCCAGTGCCCTGACAAACAGCAAGGAAAAGAATGGTGGCCCATGTGTGCTGTCACATAGCCTTCTCCACACCTTCTCGCCGCTGTCCATTCCAGAGCAGGCAGAGTTGGGTCCTGCTTTGCTCCAAAGGGCCCAGGGCATGGATGCCAAGAGCTCCGCATCACCAACTCCCTCCTGTTATGTTGTCCTGACCAGGTTCCCAGAAGAGCCTGGCTATAGTCCACACTTTTCCCATCCATGGCCAAGACACGAGGCCGTCAAAACATAGGCACACAACACAGCAAGGCATTCTTCCCAGGCACACTGCCTGTTCAGCTGGTCAGAGCTGACCCTGCTGGGGACACCAAGACCAATGAAGACACTGGCCACAAAAGCAGTGGCAACACATCCCATCCAACTTGTCCCATCCACCATTTAAAAAGACAGCTTAGAGCCAGGTGGGAGACAGACCTAGGTAGATCTCTGTGATTTCTAGAACAGCCTGGTCTATAAATCAAGTTCCAGGACAGCTGGGGCAAGAGGGAGGGAGGGAGGGAGAGCACCCCTCTCTGAACAATGTCCTCCCTGAACTGGACAGTGGGGACAGGGGAGGAGCTAGGTTGGACTCAGACTCTCTTGCTGCTACGGCCAATCAGCTAGGAGTGGCTCTAAGGGGACACTCACTCCCAATGGAGAAACTCCTGTTCAGGCTAAGATCTGGGAGCTGCGACTTGTCCCTGGGAGCCAAGGTATAAGAAGGAATATCTAGGGACATGCAGAGAGCAAACAAGGAGGGGCAGAGGGACCATTGTGGGTGAGTCTTGACAGGTCAGATCAGATTGGCCAGCCAACACTGCATCCTCGGGAGACTCTGGGAATAAAGGAACATCAATTCCAGGCCACGGGACCCTTCTATTGGCATTGCCTAAGAAGCTGTCATCATACCCCACTCCAGGTGCCCCTCCAATAAAAAGCCATGATCTGAACTGGCTTTCAGAAAGAGAGAGTGGCTGGCCCTAAAGATGGAGGAAAGTCTAGCTCCAAGCACACCAGCTTCCTTGGGACAGTTGGGGAGGATGAAGCATAGGGTTCCAGGGCAGAGGCAAGCTTGCTGCTCATAGGCTTGTAGGTGGAGCCCTGGGCATTATTTGTATAAACAAAGCCCTGGATACAGTGGAATCTGCCCTCCCTGCCTAGGTGCTGGGAGAAGGCAGAGAAGAGTGAGTCTTTTCCCTTCCTGAGAGCCTTTCAAGGTTCAGCCCTCACTTCTTACCCAAGCCCCATACAGAGACAAAACATACTCTGGCAAAGGCAATTAAAGATTATTTATGGATAATAGTGTGGGACAGACTGAGAAGGGACTAGGACCTGTAGTGATGTTTCCCAGGAACAGACCAACAGGTCTTCAGGGTGATCCAGACAGACAGGATAGGGAATGAAACTGAAATCAGAAAGAGGTCCAGTCCCAGCAACTGTGTCCCCGTGCACAGGTTCCAGCACTGCCTTGGGCCCAGGGGATGAAGAGAGATGCTGGACCTTGGTCCTTGATGGGCTGGCTACCATTCCTCGTTCTCTGCTGCCCCTCATCCAGTGGGTTGGAACATGGGCAGGTGATATGTCCAGGGCTGGGATAGTTAGTCTGGGTGGACAGAGGATCAAGGCTCTTGGAGGCTCCCGAGAGGTGTGGAGGCCTGGGTGGTGTGGGATTAGCAGCAGCAATGGGGGGATTCTGGTCAGGCACCAGAAGACTAGGGCAGAGCCACCGCACAGCAGGGCCCACGTCCAGGGCAGGTCCCCCACCTGCCCTGCCCACCACACCAACATGGTGCAATAAATAAAGTTTCAAGTAGTAAGTCAGGGTCAATCAAACAGTGAGTGAAACAAGCAGGGGCAAAAAGTCCCCAGTCACCCACTATGCCTTCTCAAGTATCTCAAGCTCCATCAAGTCTGTTTTGAGTATTACATGTTGCTGTTCAGCAGCACCCATGCAGACACTCCCTGCAGGGGCTTGGCTTCTCAAACCAGTGCCAGAGCCTGCTCGGTGAGGTAAGAGCAGGGCAGCATTGTTCCTACAGCGTCCACAATGGCTTCTAGGTGTTCATCCTGTGCCTGGGGCCCACAGAGCTGCATGAAGTCTGCCAATCGCAGTAAGTACTCGAGGTTGTGGCCAGAGAAACCTCGGCAGGCAAGGATCTGTGTGGCAATGGCCTCCTCTGGAGCAGGGCCCAGGTAGCCAGGGTTCTGTGGGGTGGCTACATAGGCCAGGGCTGTGAGGGGTTGGTCAGGGGTATCTTGAGGATAGAAGGTGACTTCCTTAGTGTCATAGCCGCCAAGCACTGCTTCTCTCACATTCAGGTACTTCAGGGCCTCGTTCACCTGCTCCCCTCGTACCTGGTATGCCACACCCCAAGTGCAGCCCTAGGAGAAAGCAGAGAATTCTCCAGTCAGTCATATTGTCCGTTGGTGGTCCCTCCTTCATTCTAGAATGTTACCTTGGACATACTCCACAACGGTGCTCTATAAAGGAGGTGGGAAGGGATGGGGAGAGGGGGAGATGGCTCAAGGGGTAGGGGTACTTGCTACCATGCCTGATCACCGAACAACCTAAATTCAATCCCTGGGACATATGTGGTGGAAGGAAAGAATTTCCTTCCACATGTTGTCCTCTTGCCTCCACAAGTGAGCTAAGCATGTGCACATGAGCACACATGCAAATAAATGTAATTTTTAAAATTTATGTGTATGGGTATTTTGCCTGCATGTATGTTTGTGCCATATGTGTACCTGGTAACCCATTGCCCATGGAGGCTACAAGAGTCAGATTCCCTGGAATTGGAGTTACAGATTGTGAGCTACTGTATGGGAGCTGGGAACCAGATCCAGGCCATTTGGAAAAAACAGGAAGTGGTTCTAACTACTGAGCCATTTCTTCATGAAATTAGAACAGTAAATAAATAAAGTGGTGGGCTGGCTGAGGTACTCAGAAGCAATAGCCCTCCCTTGATTTTTTTTTTTTTTTGAGACCAAGTCTCCTATAAAACAGGCTGACCTTGTACTCACTATGTAGTCAAGAACTCACAGAAATCTACCTGGCTCTGTTTCCTGGGTGCTGGGTTTAAAGGCAAGAGCCACTGAGCCTGGATATTTCACTTTATTTTATTTTCAAGATTTATTTATTTATTTTATGTATATGAGTGCTCTTTCTGCATGTACAACTTTGAGAGGCAGGCATCAGATCCCACTATAGATGGCTGCGAGCCACATACGGTTGCTGGGAATTGAACTCAGGACTTCTGGAAGAGCAGGCAGTGCTTTTAGCTGCTGACCCATCTCTCCAGCCCCCTATTTCACCTTTCTTAAGGGTTGACAAAGTGGACTTGCCCCAGAAGACCAGCAGGCCTATGTATATGGTTCACCACAGGAATTAATGAACTTATTAGACATAACACTGCACTCCCACACCCCACTCTACGCCTAAATTCAGGCCTGCATCTTAGTAAGATCCTCAAGTGATTCTCCAAGAAGCAATGAGTTAGGTTACAACTTCCCTCCACCCTTCCCTTGGGCCCAGGGCTCCCCTCTTGTCTCTGCACACTCACCTCACGATCTTCCAGGAGGGTCACCACTCGGCCAGGCTAGAGAGGGAAGAAAGAGTTTGAAAAAAGACAAATTAGGTATTAGCACTTCCAAAAGGGCTGAGTATGTACTTCAGTGGCAGGTTGCTTGCCTATCATGCACAAGGCCTTAGGTCCAATCTCCAGCAACACACACACACACACACACACACACACACACACACACACACACACACACACACAAACACACACACCCTGAGCTTTAATCCTGTGGTGACTTAAACCTGTGATCCTAGAGCTCCAGAGCCTTGAGAGGGAGGGAGTTTGCCGTGTAAGTTTGAGACCACATAGCAAGAAGTAGGCAAGAAAGAAGAGGAGGAAGAGGAAGAGGAAGAAATTATTGTATCTGTCAACAGCCAAAAGTGCCGGCCCAAGCCCCAAACCTCAGAGCCTGCTATTCATCCAGTGACATGGACAGGTAGTGATGGCAGATGCAGAAGAAACAAACAGCGGTGGCCCAGACTGGTAATCAACGCAAGACTCCACAGGTGCAAAAAACAACCTGATCCCCAGGCACACAAATTTAAACCACAAACCAGGTTTACAAATTTCCTTCAGTTAGCCTGAAGTCCCTGACATTCCAGGACACGGGCGCCCACTCCCCTGCCAAACCCCACCTCACCCCTCTGGACAGGGTAGGATGCTCACCATCTTGTCGCTGCCCCTATGGAAGGTGTCTCCCTGCCAGAACCGGCGGCTATAACCACGTACGAAGCCCACACGGCTGTCGCTGTAGGCAAAGTCCGGCTTCCACACTAGGGATCCGTACCCAAAAATCCACAGGGCTTGGGGGTCGCCATCCTCCCAGGAAGGCTGCGCGGGCGGTGCAGGGGACAGTGAGGGAGGCGGGGTGCTCTGGGCAGCGGACTCCTGCTTCATGGTCCCTGCGGAAAGACCGACGGACGCGTACACCTGGCCTGGCACCGATCGGTCGCTCCAGCTGAGTGGTACCCCCAGAGGCGCTCTTTAAACCCTTCGGCGGGGAGGGCCCTTCAGCTGCCTCCAGCCGTCTCGGTGATTGGGGCGGGGCAAATCTCCTTTTGGCCAATCACGTTTGGATTTTGCTTCTCGGTTAACCGCGCCGCCCTCCAAGTGGGTACCAGAGCAGCCTGCCCCCCCCGGCCCAGTGAGCGTGCTGATTGGTTCGGCTCCTCCTCCGTGGCAGACCTGGCTGGAGTGATGCAACGGCGCAGAAGGTTTCCCCAGCACTGGCATGCAGCAAGGGCGCGTCGGATTGCGTCAGGCTGCGGGTGCTGGGAACGGGCCTGGCACGGGCACCCGCCGTCTCCCCGGGAAGCCCTCAATGACCCCGGCGGTGTCTCCCTGCAGTCTAGCCGGTGCCCTTTGCAGAATCCTTGCCACCCAAAGCGGTGGCCAGAGTAGGGCACGGTCAGAAAGAATGCTCTGGGAGGCACAAACTCTTGCCTCTGGGGCCTCTCCTGAAAACACGCACTGCAGAGAAGCTGTCTCTGGCACCCTCCGCATTCCACTCTGGTGCCTCACGCTATTGCCCATGTGAGCAGTTGGAGAAACTGAGTCACAAGGCTGTAGTTGAGTCAGACTGGGTGGTGCAAATTCAAAGGCCTCACGTGAGGGCTACGCCCCGGGCCAAATGTGGGACCCCAAACTAAACAGCCTTGGGCAGAGCAGTCACTTTGAGCACCTGTGGTGCAAGGCCTTAAACAGAAGAATGCCAGGCCAGTTTTATCCCAAGGCTATAGGTTTCATTTTTCTGGGCTTGGGATCTTGCAGAGGGAGGTTTGCAGGGATGTTGATTAAAGAGAACACAGAGGACTGGTGGCAGCTGCAGCCTTCTCCCCTCTTGCCAGGCAGTGTGTATGGCCCCCGGCACCAATGTGGGCACCGGCTGTCTCCCTGGCAGTTCCTCTCTATCCCAAACACTGCAGGAGCCACCGCAGATACCTTTCCCCAGCAGCCTGTCCTTGCTGCCCCTGGTGAGCCACTGCCACCCCAAACTGCAGGCTGGAGGGGAGATAGCGCTTAACTTCCTAAGTAGCAGCAAGAGGCTGCCCTCTGGGCATCTCTCGTTAGGAAAGGGAAACAACAAGCAGAAAGCCTTCCCACTTGGAGGATCTGGAGTGAGTTCCCAGGCCTTGGAAACTGTCAGTGAGTCTTACTTATTTAACCCCAGAATTATATAAACCCAGATAGTTTCATTCCCGAAGTGTCTAAGCATTAATCCCAGCATTAAGGAGGCTGAGGACAGAGATCTGGAGGTTCAGGCCAGCATGAGCTGCAAAGCAAGACTGTCTCTAAAAGAATAAATGTGGCCGGGCAATGGTGGTGCACGCCTTTAATTCCAGCACTTGGGAGACAGAGGCAGGTGGATCTCAGTGAGTTTATAGGCCAGCCTGGTCTACAGAGTGAGTTCCAGGACAGTCAGGATTGTTATACAGAGAAACCTTGTCTTGAAGAGCCCAAAAATAAAAAAATAAGAATAAAATAAAGGAAGAAAGAAAGAAAAAGAATAAATGTATGGATGAACAGCGTGCAAATATTCTTAAAAGTTGGAGGAAATTTTGTTTGCTTTCATAATTTGGGAATAGAACATAGGTCCTCACACTCATGTGCCCTCTGCCTTTAATCTCTGCCTGCCCCAGGTCTGGGTTACCTATGAAGATCACACATTACTTTTCTGAATAGAAAATTGTTTAGAAAAATGGTGATCTCTGGTAATTTTCTTCTTTGCTGCTACTTTCTGTGTTTAATCTCCCCTGTCTTCTCTGTTAGTTCCTCTTAGTAACCCCTTTGGTATTGCCTCTTACAGAAAATAGCCTCTAAGAGTCTTCCCTCACCATCTTCCGTGGGAGAAGGGAAACTGAAAATATCTGAGTCAGGACAAACAACCCTGCCACCCACTCTTTCCATTCCAGGGAATTCTTCACAATATGAAAAAAGCCATATACCTGAAATTTTAATGGTATTTGTGGTAGCAAAAGCCTAAAAATCTCTAAATAGTCAAGTAAATTGTGGTCAGTCCACATGATAGATAACAAAGTTACACACAGAGAAAGCAAGTGTCCATCCATACATGGTAACGAAGTTGCTACACCAACTACCTCTGTGAAACCATTAGACACAGTTCTATATGGCTGGGCTTACTGGGATTTACACATTAGCTATGATATATAATTACATGAAAAAGGGCCTTGTAAAATAACATCATGTAACTTTTTCAACTTGGGAAAGTCTGAGGTGAGACTGGTAGAGAGCTTAGCTAGCATGTGGGAAGCCCTGGCTTCCATCCTCTGCCCTGTGGAGAGAAGCAGTCTATGTCTGCTAACCTGCAAGGAGGAGTCTGGAAAAGCTCATTAAAATGTTCAAAGTGACTGCCTGAGTCCTTACATGGCCCTGACAGAAGGGCAGCAAATTTGGACTTTCTTTTTTATATTCTGGTTGAGATTTTAAAAAGAAAGATAAGACAGACAGTGGTGGTGCATGCCTTTAATCCTAGCATATGGGGAGGCGAAGGAAGGTATCTGTCTCTTGTAGTTCGAGGTCAGCCTGGTTTCCAGACCTAGTTTCAGGACAGCTAGGGCTACACAGAGAAACCCTGTCTCAAAAAACAAAAACAAAAAACAGCTGGGCGTTTGGTGGCACATGCCTTTAATCCCAGCACTCCGGAGGCAGAGGCAGGTGGATCTCTATGAGTTCGAGGCCAGCCTGGTCTACAGAGTGAGTGCCAGGATAGGCTCCAAAGCTACACAGAGAAACCCTGTCTCGAAAACCCCAAAAACAAAACAACCAAAAAAGAAGCTATTTCTGCCAAGGGGGATGGTTCACACCTGTAATCCCAGCACATGGGAAACTGAGACCATAGGATTATGAGTTCAAGGTCAGCCTGGGCTATATAGGGAGATTCTTTCCCAAAACAACAAGACTAATTTGACTTCATTTAAAATTGGTAACTATTATGAATACATTCTAGTAAAAATGCCAATGGCTGTATAGTAAACCAAAAATGCAGGATATGGACTGTCACATGAGCAACAGTAAAACTATTAAAAACAACAATGTACAGGGTGGTGGCTCATGACTGGTACCACTTTGGTTCCAGCACTATGGAAGCTGAGGCAGGAGGGTTGCTACAAATTTGAGGTTAGTCTTGGCTACATAGTGAGTTCCAAGTAAGTCTGGGCTACAATGTGAGATCCTTTTGCAACAGACAAATAAGTGAAAGGGCGCCTCATTAACAGTGGAGACACCAAATACAAGTGCTGAAGTGTTGATGCTGCAGTTGAGAAACGCTAAGCTTTAATGAAATGGTTATTCTCTATTATATTTATTTATTGCATATGTGTGTGAGCACGGATATTCATGCAAGCATGTGTGAAGGTCACGGGACAACTTTTAGGAGTCCCAGAGATCCAATTCAGGTCATCAGGTATTGTGGCAAGGCCTTTTACACACTGATCCATCTCACTGGTCCTGAAATGTCATCTGTGTTTGTTTTTGTCTGTTGTAACAAAGTCTCATGTAAACCAAGCTGGCCCGAGTTTGCTATGTAGCTGAAGATGACCTTGAACTTCTCATCTTCCTGCTTTCACACCTTAAATGCCAGATTGCAGACATGCGTCAGCAACTCTGATTTGTGCAATTCTGGGGATGAAACCCAGGGTTTTGTGTATGCTAGGCGAGCATGCTAGCCACTGAGCTACACTTCCAACTGAAGTGCAATTTCTTTCTTTCTTTCTTTCTTTCTTTCTTTCTTTCTTTCTTTCTTTCTTTCTTTCTTTCTCCCTCCCTCCCTCCCTCCCTCCCTTCTTTCTTTCTTTCTTTCTTTCTTTCTTTCTTTGAGACAGAATCTTACTATGTAGCTACCCAAAAGTAGCTAAATGTTTAAGTAAATTATGGTTAATTCACATGACAGAAATGAACATACACACACAGGCACATGTGCACAGAAAAACTTAAACGTCCAGCCATAGATGGTAACATAAAGCTGATACAGCCCATTAGATCTGTGAATCCACTGGAAACAATTCGGTGTGCCTGTACTTACTGGCATGGGAACACAACTATGATGTATAATTACATAAAAAAGCACATTGTCTGAACCACCTGGAGAACTCTTCTGTGATATTCCTTTTCAGACCTCTTCCTACCCAACCAAACCAGAACCTGATCTTATCCACACACAGTTATACACTCACTCGACCCTCCTACAATCCCTTGGGTCACATCTGGTTACCTATCCTCTGCACCTCATGTTTTTCCTATGTGCCAGACAGTTTGCTAAATATTTTTGCAGCCATTCTAATTATAAATTCCCCTTGGGAGGCAGATGCAGGTGGGTCTCTGGAATTTCAAAGCCAGCCTGGTCTACATAGTGAGTTTTAGTCCAGCCAGGACTACACAGTAAGACCTTGTCTCAAAAAATATATATATATATATAATATAATAAAATATTATATATATTATATAAAATATTATATATTATATTACATTATAAATATATTTATATTATAAATATATATTTATATATAAGTATATGTTATATATTATAAAATATTGTATATATTATATTATATATAATATTATATATAAAATAAAATATTATATATATATATATATAATATAAACTTCTCCACTCTGTTGGAAGGTAGATATAATTTCACAGATAAATATACAGGTAGGTTGGGTGTAGGGCTCACAAGCCTCCTTGCTGACAATCATTTGGTATCCCTCCTCCCATCGAGGTAAGAGCTCCCCCCAAAACTTACTCATCTTTGAAGGTCCACTGGAGTCAATATCATAATACATATAGAAGCCACTCACAAATGTGCTGAGAACAATGGAGGGAAAGGGTAGGGGGAGAAGAAGGAGGAGAGAGAATATGCACTTTGTTTTGTTGTTGTTT